TGAATGGAAGTTTAGCAGATAGAAGTATACGAAAAAAAAAGGAAAAAAAACTGCTAGGCCCCACATCAAATTATCTCTCTCCATTCATGCGAATGCGATGATGCAAATTTACATATTTTACTATTATACCCAAAGGAGTCAATAATTTAATAGTTTATTAATTTAATTAAATTAGTGCAACATATTAAAAATTGAAAAGAAATGTATTTATTAGTTTTAAGTCTATGGAAATATATTGTTAGAAACAAGTACATCACTATTTCAAAATAATTAAAAAGTTTATTCATTTTCTACTTATTTTCTGATCTTTCTAATTCTTTCTCCTAAAATCTTTCAACATCCAAACAAAACATGTAGTTCAAGCCTCCATCAGTCATATACTTTATATTAAATTCATTTTGCTTTTCAAATACTGCTCTTCCCATAGTTCAATCGTAACATTGACTTTTTCGTAAAAAAAAGGGTGTAAAGTAAAATATAATCCAAACGTGTGCTTGAATTTAAGTTTGAATCAAATTCCAATAAAGCAACATGGATACAGATATTCCAATTCAGCCAATCCTACTACCTTAGTTTCATAGTAGAATTTTTGTCCCCTCTTTCAACGCTGAATCACCTTTTTTACTCGTAAGTGTGACGTTAATTAATAGAATCTTTTAATATTGTATAACTCAAGAGAGAAATGTAAGTATAAAAACATGCAGATTTATAATTTAGATATTGTAGAATAAACCTAAAAAAAATTATGCTCAGTTGAAATTGTCTGTGCAAAAGGTCGTGTTTCAATTTTACTACTCCTCACTTTGTGAAGACTATGAAATTTGACTGCAAAATTTGAAATAACCACAGCCTATTAAAATACATCATTATCCGCGTAATGGAAACATGAAAATCAGAGTATGACCTCGTCCATCACTATCTCTTCATAATCTTCTGGTAGCACTATAGGATTTTCAAGTACAAGTCAATCACTTGAAATCTTGAATGCTCCACACACTAACTTTAGGCACGTCTATAGATACTTGCTTCTTTTCCTTTATCGGCTTGCTTAAGGCTCTTGCTAAATTCTCGGGCACTCTGAAATGGTACAGGGAAAAAATCAGGACAGATTATATGCACTAGCATATGATCACATTAGAATTTGAGACTGATCTAATGTTTCACACATATTACCAACAATGTCTGTTACAAAATAAAACCATTGCAAATAAAAAATTCATAATTCTGCAAAAAAAATAAGCTCCAACATCAGTACGAGCAAAGCTCTAATCTAACACCTATTTTTTCCCAACAAAAACAAAAGTCTTGTCCCATTAAGTGAATCAATTTTTCTCCAAAAGCAAAATAATTTAAATTTAAACTATGCACACCCTGAATCAAGTAATTCACAGCAAGATACCAGCATAATTATGCAAGCTACCCTACATTAAAATTACAATCCCCTTCCTTCTGCAAATGCTTTTTCTACATTTGACATTAACATGATATGATCAAATATAAGCCAGTAACCTAACTTAATTACCAATGGCAGGAAAATGAAAGACAAATAGAAGCAAAGGGAAGGCCAACAAATTAAATTAGCGACACAAGAAAGTTAATGTCAAAAACAACAATATCCTTTTAATTTTTTTTTTAAATACACTCTTGTCTAACCATACACTATTGTCATCTTAACTGAATCTCCCAATTTAACAATGTAGTTGATAGCCAGTTTTGCTTCTTTCAATTATATATAATAGCGTAGACAAGACTAACAAATCCACCACCCACCTATCCAATATCTACTCTTGGAAAAAAAGGGAAAAGCTCTCAAATAAAGAAGAACATTACAAGTTGCAACAGGCATCTTCATAGGAATCTAACTAACAACTTCTGTTAATCAACAAGAACTTGTCATTGCACAAGAAAATTTGTTCCAAGAAAAATAAAAATATTGAAGATTTTTCTTTACATTACATATTTCATATTTAATAATATAAAAATAAAATTTATCTAAATACTCCATTATTTTTATTTGATATATATATATATATATATATATATATTGTGGATTGGCATGGACCAATTGAATATGGCAAGTATTGTAGTCATCATATGATTAATGAAAATTGTTCAAATGGATGTTGAATTTGGATGCATCTTTAATAACATTCTTTATATAGAATTTCAAATTGATGCAAATTGGGTCTTTCTACATTTGCTGCTGACACAGTCCCCTCGTTGCTAACATGGAGTTATGCCACACCACCTTCGTGTCAGAATCAGAAAAGATAATTGCAAGAAAAACACAGAGTTGCACAAGCCATTTTGCCAAAATGGCAATAACCAAGGTAATACAGAGGAGGTCTCCAAACACATAGATGGACTACTTTGCATTGACTCCAAAACAAGGAGGCCAGGGACCAAAATTGAACTTTGTCAAACAAGAATGAAAAGTGTAAATAAAACCAAAAAGGAAAAACCCATAAAGTTTATGTTGCGAATAAATTAAATTCAATAATGAGTAAATACTATTGTCATTTCTGGGAAGAAACGAGAAGTAATTAGCTCACAGTAAAATGTCACACAAAACACAAACATTTATTGCAGATGTTTTTCACACTTTGGTTTCAATTTGATGGTGGTCTTTTGTAATTCAATAGACTCCTAAAAAGGACACATTATCCCAATTCATCATGAGGATTCAATAGATTTAAGGTTACTATTCTCCTATAAAATCTTTAAAGTAATGCAGATTAATAATGTTGAAGTTTTATGAAACAAGTAACTAGCTCCGTGATAAAAAGACACAAATGCAGCTAGTTTAATGAAATCTCACTACTTGAAACAGGGCATGCAAAGCACGGGTTATAGAGTAGACATTTTTTATGCTCATGGTTGTATTTTGTCTTGTCCATTATTGAGGATACCTTACCCTCCACCCCAAAGTTGTACTTTTGCTTTTTTTTTTTCCCTCAAATATCCATAAGCCAAGATGTCACAGATGCAAAAACCTTTTGAAGAGCAAGGAAAGAGAGAAGAGGAAGAGGAGGAGTATTGTTACTTTGTTAGAGATGGTCTAACCAAACTGTTTAAAAATAAACATGTTAATAAGTTATTGCACAAAATTCATATTAACCAATGAAAGTAAGTAGTGAAGAGAATTCTAATCCAAACCAAACAAGATCTCTTGCACCAAAATGGTATAAATAACATTGTCAAAGAAAGTTGTGAATATCTTGCAAGTTAAACCTACATTCCAACTAAGAACCATATTATGCAAACCATAGTTCTATTTTGTATAGAATATCAGTAAGAGTGACCACATATGAGTGATAGAAGGTAAAAGACACTCTCTAAAAAGTAGATTCGTATGACTTTCATTTCAAACTGTTCATCAACTTCCTTATGCAAAATAAACACAAAATTATAAGAGATTTCCAACCCATAAAATAATTTACATAACCCTCGATCAATTTCCAAATAAAGTAAACCATCCTCACAAGTTACCACAATCCCATTTGCAACAAAGCTAATGAAAACAACAAGGTCATCGAGTTTAATCAGCACCATAAACATCGATTTAAATAAACTTCTCAAAATACACTTATAATAAGAGGCCTCAAAAAAGTGGATTTGGCCTAACTTGCGGTGGTTCAATAGGATAGATTCTTATACCATGGTCATCAAGTTTAATCAGCACCGTAAACTTTAAGATAATACAGTCTTAAAAAAGCGGATCTGGCCTAACTTGCCAAGATAAATTCTAATGTCTTGAGAAAATGGATTGGCTTAATTCACCATAGCCTAATTCAACCTTTCAAAATCATTTTATAAAAAAAATCATTTTATAAGGTAAAGATGGTTACCCAATTATATACTATATTTTGGTCATATTAGTAATTGATGTGGGATCTCCCATAGGAAGAAAAGAAAGAGTAAAATGAATGAAACTTGATGAACAAGTTATAGTGCAGAAAAGAGATGATATAAAGGAAGAAGAACGGACCGTAGATTGAAGAGGAGGTGGATCAAAATGAAGGGAGCGAACAGACATCTTGGCGATCTCAGTGATGGCGTCGTCTCTGACCTCAGCGACATCACTCGTCAATTCTTCATATGCCGCTTCGAATGCCTCTTGCCAGAACCTGGGCAACCTGATTCTGCGACTGTTGGTGTAAACATCCCACATGTGCCGCACCACCTTCTCCCTCTCTTCCATTTCCTGCTCAAAACAACAAAACGAAACGCATCAAAACGACATCGCATTGCGCGCACGGCAAGAACAAAACCCGCTCGCATTGGGAAAAACTCACGAGAACGTCGAGGTCGTCGTGGATGGGAGCGTCGATGTCGTTGGTGAGGGAATTGAGCGTGCCGGACCAGCGGAGAGAGACGGTGCCGGTGAACATGGACCAAAACGCGAGAAGCAAGATCGCCGCTAGTGCCCAGAATTTGTACCTTCCTTTCCCAAACAGACCCGAATCCAACGCTTCCTTCTTGGCGACGGTTGTCGTAGTCGGAAGCCCCTCCTCATCCTTCATTTCTCGCTCGATCTGATCAACGATCCCCAATGTGACGCGAATTCAGATAATGTGAGGGTTTCTTTCACTCGCACCTACTGTGGTTCTGATTCAGCTTCATCGCTTTCGGTGTCGGGTTTGCGAATCGATGCTGTGGCTGTGACCGCGTTACTCAGATACACTGCGATGCAATAAGAAAATGACGGATTTGGTGTTTCCTTCTAAGGAAGGGCCGGTGCAGGTGCTGCATCGTGTGGGCCACCACCTTTTATTACGGTTGATTTGGTTGACTTTGGTCCCGTCTGATGTGGAACAATGCTCACCGTTGATTCCACTCAATCATGTGATGCGTTTTAATACTGATATCCGTTATTTCTCTTCGAGGCAACCGACACTCGACGGCACCGTTTTAAGACCGACACTCGACGGCACCGTTTCAACAAAGAAATAAAAAGTAGCTCCATTTTCATGAGATATACCTTATGGAATATTTATTATTTACTTGTCTTCTTCTTTTAATTCTTTTTCATACATTTATACTTGTTAATATAATGAAAAGTATAATAAAGTGAAGAAAATGAAAATTTAGACTAAATATACTTTTTATCCAAATGTTTTTTTTAATCCAAAGATACATTTCTTATTATTTATTACGTTAATAAAAATTAGATTTTAAATTTTTTTTAGTTAAAATACCTTTTAATCCCTCTAAATTTAACTTTGTGTATAATATCGATATCATTTTTTTTGTTGAAATATTTTTTTTATACTCACAAAATTGAAAATATTTATCACATTAACATAAAATAAAAAATTAATAATAGAAATTTAAAAATTACAAAATTGTAAATAAAAAATTATTGTAAATTATAAGATTTTTTTTAAAAAATTAAAAGATAAACATGCTAACTAAAAAATATATTTTTAACTATAAAAACTAAAAGGTAAAATAAAGTATAAGAAATAAAAAATTATTCTAACTAATATTTTTTAATTTTATCCAAATGTATCCTACCATTTTTTTTTTCAGGAATTGTCATCTAAATTATTATCACTGGTATTAGTCGGGTAATTAATAACATTGTACTCTCTTCCCAAAGACCTAAATATAAACTAAGAAATATATTTATCTATTGATTTGATTTTGAAATTGAACAATAATAAATTGGAGTAATATTAAATTTAAAAAATAAATAAAATAGAGTTAGTTTGATTTAATTTTTAAAATTATTTTAATTAATTTAACTTAATTTAAATATTTTTTTTAATTTGAACTTTCTAACTGAAATATTGACTTCTTGCAAATCAAGAGTGAATTTGATAAAATTATCTTATAAACAATTATAAGGGAGGAGTTAAAAAGCTATAAAGTTATAAGTTAATTGTTTGAATTTAAAGTGTTTAATAAAATTAATTAATAAATTAAAATAATTTATAAGTTACTCTCCTCTCCCTTTATTTTCTAATTATAGTTCTTTCAAGAAAATTTCATGCTCATTTATTTGTTATTTTCAAGATCTAAGTGGCATGAATTTTTATTTTTATTTTTATGAATTATATAATTATATCTCACCTAAATTTTAATTAATTAATATATTGTCAATTAACATATATACATTTATCACACAAAAAAAAATATAATAAAAAGAGCATAATAGAAAATATCAAAATTATTTTATAAAAAATTGATAAATTTATTATGTTTGCTTGTGTATAACAACCTTAAATTAAAGACTATTAAAAAAGAACTATTACAGTGCAAGTTACTTCAATTAACATATGTAAGTAGTAAACTTTCATAATAAACTTGCATATAAATAAGTTTTGTTTTATCAAATTAACTTATAAATTGGTCAAATAAACTTATAATTGAGCTCCTCAAATGTCTTGACAAATAACACACGAATTCTAAATATGATTTTTTTTAACATTTAGTTCTTTCTATCATTATATATATTTTTACCTTTTTCATTAACTTATTCATACCCAAAATATGATCACAATGTTTGAGAAAACATATACTATGTTAACTTTTTTTTTAAAATGTATAAGAAACAATAAACCCTTTCCTTAAAAATTAAAAAAAAAAGGAAACAAATTCAAAAAAAACAAAAGAAAAAACAAAAAAGTATTTTTTTTTTAAATTAATGATTCCTTAAATATAAACATAATTAAAGATGACTAATAGTAATTTAAATTCTAGAAGAAAATATTATTAGTTTATTACTAATAAATAAAAAAGAAATAAATAACAGAGGTTTGACGCATTTATTCTATATAAAAAAAAGGATAATATCCTAACTAAAGCCACATATAATGTCTGGTGTAAATATACCACTGCTATAAAATATACAATTTGTAATTATAAGTGAAATAAAATTGTAGAACAAAAAGTTGTTTTGTTTTACAAGAATCCCAAAAGCTTTCGATGTGCATGGTTTTAAATTAGTACTCCAATTAATCATCCGTTGAATCAAGCTTGTCATTACATAATATAAATATTTCTTTTTGAGGGGATAGGGGAAGGGGTATTACAAATGATTTCCTAAGTTTGAGGGAGATAGAAAAATCTTTCAACGCCCAAACCCCATATATTAAACTCTACCAATTACATATTCTTATTCTATTGCAAAGCATATTTCATGTCTTTCCTAAGCCTGAGGGAGGTAAAAAGCTTTCAGCATTCAAACCCCATATATTGAAATCTACCTCTTCGATCTTCCATCTCTCTTCCAATTCTCTTTTATGGTTAGCTGATTGTTCGCCATATCTCGACACTGTCACTCGAGTCTTACCACTGTGTGACACATTTATCCCATCTACGTACTTATAATCCTCAATTACTGATTCTAAACTTGTTTCCCAAAAAATGTCATTGTCATCTTTGGTTCTCATTGTGAGTAATCTAGAGTCTTCAAATTGAACCAAGAGACCAGATCGCTGGCTGAAATAGCCCCATATAGTGTGGTGGATAATCTCAAAGTTTGGACCACTTTGGGCATCACGAATTGCTGGACTTGTTTCCAGTTTCAATATGAAGCATTCCTCATCATTGATTATTTTCTCTCCTATGCATGCAGCGTCCAAAAATAAGTTAGCCGTGGCCCTTGGATCCAATCCCTAATGAACAAATAATTTAATTACATTTAGAGCTCAAGATCAAGTAGCTTTTCAATTGGTATATTGAATGTGAACATAGTAGAACTTATTTAAATACTAATTTAAAAAAACTTTTGAGTGATTATCTATCAAAGATTTTTATTTTTATTAAAGAAATTCTTAAGTTTTTTTTTTAAATTTATATACCTGAAGGAAACGGCGCAAAGGTCTAGGAGCACCTTTTGCAGCCTGGGTTTGTTGGTTAGAAGAAAGGCGCCAGGAGACCTTGCCATTGCTACCGCAACAAACCTTGCAACCGGACAAAATGATCTCTAAGCACCACAAATCAGGGTCCTTTTGCCACAAAACAAACCCTCCCATCTCTTCTGAGGTTTTCTTCACCTCTATGCTTTCATTCGTGTGGTGAAAATCTGACGCAGTAATCTTCACCTGTCCAGTCACACACATACTGTCCACCGCATTCAATGCTGGCTGTCCTCCCGTCGCCGCTATGTATTGTTGCACTATATACTTTGCTGTTGATGCTTCCTATACAACACAATCAATCAAACCCAAATTAAAAACAACATATTCATTCATTAACTTTTATTATAAATACTTTAAAAGTTTTACTGCATACAGCATGTGATCGGCATTATAATAAAAACTTATAAGTCAACACAACATGAGTGCGAAGGAATGTATCCATAAGTGAAAAATAAATTTCATTTTATCAGATTAATTTGGATTCAAAATTCATATTATAAGTTAATATTAGAGTTTATTTTAAAAATGTTGTTCAACATCCACTACTCATTATTAAATTGTTACTGTGTTACTCATAGATATCTAATCTTATATATTTTATATTCAAAATATTCGACTTTTAACATGAAAAACGTATTGAAAATCTTATATATTAATAAACACATATAATCAAGTATATAAATTTAGAGATATATATTTTTTTGAAAACAAGATTTTCCTAACAAAAAGTTAAGAACTAATATTCTCTGAGAGGCATCAAACTTTAAACCATATACTTAACAGACAATATGTTATCTAATCTCAAAACTTATACTTTAAAACATTTTATGACTCTTTTAAATTTTTTGGTTTATGAACATATTCTAAATAGTATTTAACAACCAAAAGTTAATTTGTCAAACATGTTTTATTTTTATTGAATAAGCATTATTTTAATCTTAATCAATCATAAAAGTACTGGATTAACCATTCATGCACCAAGCCATGCAATCCAAAGGTGTGACGTGAAGAATGTTTGTAATATAATTTGTGTTAGATTGAAAAAAGTGTAAGGTTCTTACAATGGAACAATCTCTGACGGGACGATGGACGGAATGGCCTAACTGGACCTGAAGAGGGATAAGAGGGGATCCAACGAGGTAAAGCAGAAAGCGAAGCTCGTTCAAGCGTGATGCAACTGTGGGGGTTGCCAATTTGTCCTCCGTTTGGGCCTTCATCCACGTTAACATGTTTTGCCACCGCACCGTCACGTTGTTTCCCATGTTTGCGAACATTTCTTCGGGTATAGGTATTTCGAGAACGGTCTCCAATCCATCTTCTTTATCGATGTTCGGACAAAGCCTCCTCAGGGATGACTTTGAAGCTGCTTGTTTCATCAGTGTCTGTGTTTGTGGGTCTCCGTCTTCACGAGGAAAAAGTTGATGATTGAAGAGGTAAGACGAGTGAGGAAAGAGGATCAGAGTCAAAGGCTAAACACCTTTCTATGTTCTTCTACATGTGGAGGGGATCACATGCTCCTACCTGCTCAAGGCTCTCCTTGCTTCTAGGCACTAATTGTGGTTCATTTTTGTTCTACAAGTTTCTATTTAAAGATTTAATCCATCATTTTTGCAAATATTGTTTCTATTTATTGAGCTTATTCTATCTATCGATTATAATTATTACCTTTTATTATCTGAAATCTCGATGGATGTTGTAGAAAAATTTAGGAACTATATATTGAACATTATTAAACCTATTAAGAATCGGCATTAAATAATAACTCAATATTAATACAAAAGATCTTATTAAGTTTCAGTGAGAAATGATATTGTATCACTACTACAGAATATACATTCTACGTTGGTTATTTTAGAAGTTTTACGTCGGAAAAATCTTCAACGTCGAAGCAGGAGACGTAAATTTACGTTGATTGTGAGGCCAATATAAAAAGTTGTAAAAAAATTTAAAAAAAAGAAAAAGAAAAACGACTGCAAGCAGAACGGGCCGTTCTGGTTGGAGAACGGCCTGTTGTCCAAGTAGAACGGCCTGTTCTGCAACTCGGACTTGGCCACTTCCTTCTCCAGCTTCAAAAACTCGGAATGCAATGCAAACATCACCTTCCTATTCCTGTGAACACACTCAGCAGAAGACACTACCTCATAGAACCTCCCAAAAAAACCCATGACCAACGCAACCGTTCGAAGAAGAAGAACATCATCACGCGAATCAACCTCTTCCCCAACCTTCCTAAGCTCCAGAGGAGGTAGAACTTGTCGAGGCGGAGGGCGTTGATGCCGGACCACCCCCGGCGCATGGTGGCTCCGACTGCGAGGGCAGCCACGATTTGAGGAGGAGGCAGAGGGATTTCTCGCGTGTGGCCTCCATTGCACAATGCGCGAGAGAAGGAAGTTTTTGAAATCTCCAGCTAGTGTAAACCTTGTTTTAATGGGCGGTCCTGTGAATTATTTACGTCGGCCCTAGTAGGGTTCGACGTAAATTTTAACATTTACATCGGACACAATGCATAATCGACGTAGATGTTAAAATTTACGTCGGACCCTAGGAAGTCCGATATAAATAATTTAATTAAAATTACAAAACATACCACCACATTTTTATTACGTCAGGTGTTTGTATGTCTAACGTAAAATAGGTGACGTGGTATATTAATTTTCCACTGGTGTATTTAAGTGAGGGTTTGTTGATAACTTGATATCAATTTTATCTTAGATCTTATTAAAGTTCGGTCATGATTTTTATTTTGAAGAAAATTGGAGGATTTTTGTTTGTCCTTTTCTATTTATCTTTTAGACCTTCTTTAGAGACACTATGTGTAATAACATATTTTGTACACTTGTTAGCAAGTTAGAGTACTTCTTGTACCCCTTTCCATTAATATTTTTCTTATAAAAAATATTAAAACAGAATTTTTGATAAAAAAAAATGAAAATATTTTAGAGATAGATCTTTAAAAAAAATAATTATATTTAAATACTTTTTGAAAATTAAGCTTTTAAAATGAATTTTAAGAATTCAAAAAATAAATTTTAAGTTATGAAATCTTAATAGGAAAATTATATAAATGTTAATATGAATATTTTTTTTAAGGAAACTTAAAGTGAAAATTTTGTTGATTTACTCTTTGAGTCGGTTTTAAATACTTAAGAATTTTATATATTTGTCTTGTACAAGGAAAAAAGTTTAACATAATTAAAATATTAATATTTATCTTTAAATAGTTCTTTATCACTTGATTCTGAGAACCGTAAAATTTATGGATGTGGTTGACTGTTTTATGTGTAACTAAGTTTTGTAAGTTTCAATAAGGCGCAAAAGAATAACATTGAAGATGCATTCTAGCGTAACGTAATTAAAATATTGATATATAATTTTTTTTTTAAAAAAATAAATTAGGATAAGATACCATCTCATATAAAGTTAAAGTCAATAATAAGTACTAACATTTTTTAAAATTTCTTAATAGGATTACACATCATTTATCTCATCTTTAATGTAGATTGGAATTAAATGATATAAAATACCAAAAAAAATTATATTCGATTGTAAGAATTATATATATATATATATATATATA